CCTCGGTCGTGTATACAACACATACACTCAACGGTACAATGCCCAATACCTCCCCCTCTTTTAGTGGAGGTTTGACGTCTCTCACAGCATCCACAGTCCCGGCTACAACAACTTCCTTTACTTATACAGTCTTCGACAAGCTCTTTCCGGAGATACCAAGCAGGATTACTCTTCACTGAAATGTAGCCCTTTCTCAATGATCCCGTACGGAGCATACACTCTTTTTCGTAGAGATCCCGCACTTGATAAGAAAGTGTTTTTTTGAGTTTCTTCCACTCCTCTTCGAGTTGGTCAAGTTGCAAGTCGTTGTCATCGACGCTTAGAAGCTTTTTCGCAGCTCTAATCTTGTTATTCAATGCATCTTCTCGTTGAACAGTTGACCCCGGCGAGTATCGAGTATTCAGCCCGCATGATATTGATGAGGAGGTTGGCATCGTATAGAGAGGATAGGCCATGATAAACCCACGCACATCCACCGCTATATGTGTAATTTGACAGGGTAGACAAAGTCCTATATTCTCCAAGCATCTTGGAGGCTTCGAGGTATGGATAACGCTGAAGCCACAAGGAAATCTTTTCAAAATCAAGAGAAGATAGAGGTTCTGTAAGCTAGATGTATCAGAACGAATGTAGCGGAGTTCGAAATTATTTTATCAAGTCATCATCATGATCTTGTCTCGCCTTATAAGGTTCACACCCAATCCGGTGCCAAATAGGGACACTTTATTATTTACTTCACTAGGGTTAGTGATCTCATAGTCATATCCACGGGCCAGTCGGGTACTATAAACTAACAAACCATATTTTGCATTAAAATCTTAGCTGGTAGAAAAAGCAAAGTTTCAAAATGAAAGTCAGGACCGAGATGAGATTATATGCCAAGTATAATGTATCACCTATTAGCAGAGTAAAGAGATCAGGACTACTACCTATTTACTTTGGCTCATTCTCCAAAAAATACCTAATATATTTGATGATAATGTAAGGAGAAGGTCATAGTATAAATAATTTAGGAAGGCACGTACTAGTAGTTGCCTATAGAACCTCCCCTCCATTTCCCTCTCTTCTCGTGGAAATGAAATCGCAGTTAAACGTTCTGGTATACACAATCCAATACAAGACCCCTTTTCTCTCTTTTCTCTGCCTATGAAAATGAGGGCAGACAAGTGACCTGCGGATTTTGGGCACTTGTGTGTGCCATCGCGTTCGCGATCGTGGGCCTGATCGTGTTTTGTGTAAAGGGAAGGGAGAGACAGTAAGTGCTCCTGATCTATCATCAAGTGAAATCAAGCGGATATTGACCAGCAATTTCTATAGCCAAACTACTGTGGAACAAGCAATTAGAATTGCTTCCAATCACAACCTGGCTGCACGCGTTGATGCCCTTCTCGCACGGCAGCGAGATCCTCGTAAGATTCCTCACTCCCTCAAATGCTACATAGAGACAAGTACTGAGGGATATTCTGGAAACTATAGATTACCAAGACCTTACCCCCCACCTTCAATTCGCACAAGCCCAATGAGCAGAAAGATACGAGGGTCTGTCAGTCGTTTATGACGAGTTTGAAGCCGTTGCCACCTGAACCCTGAGTTCATCACTGCAGACCCCTTCAAAGCCTTCAAGTCCACCTTCAGAGATTTGATGCACGATAGAACTCCATTCTGGTGGCTATTTGACTTGCTTGGTCTTTTCTTTCGTCCATGGGAACAGGACCTACGAAAGCTACTAGCCCAGCTTATAGGCTACATTATTGACTAGGTTGCAAGTTCAGTTCCATGACTACGAGGAAACGATCTTTCTTACGCAACCTCAAGACCATGCTTGGGCTATATAATATGGCTAATTCTTCTTATCCTTCTAGCTATAGCACTAGTAAGGGGAGAAAATAATTATAGAATAATATTGCTAAGAAGACTTACAAAAAGACCCCCAAAAGAGTACCGAGAAGACATGACAAGGCTGTATAAGCGGCCAATTATTCTTGTAGACCTGATACATTCCTATCATATTATTTATGAGCGCATGGATCACTGGCCGCGTTTAGGACCATATCGTAAGTACGGGGGTTTTCGGGACCATCATGAAAGTTATCGCAGATACGGTAAACGGCTAAGGTAGAACTATAGTTGCCGAAGACATAAAACTCACTAAATGACTTGCATGGTAATCTTGGCTGTGGAGCTTTCACGCCCATGTGGCCGTGCAGGATGCATATCGGTCTGCTTTGTTTCATGGTCTATGTATCATTTGATTTGTTGATCGTGTTACGCCGATTCTTCTTGATATCGTGAACTCAGTCCTCGGTCACTCGCATGGTATGACCAGGGCAGTTCTGCGAATAACCTTTATGCAGATAATCATGTTGAGAATGCACCTCGCAACGGGAACCGAGGAGAAGTTGCATATGATACTTGCGCAGTTGAGGTGTCGCAGGGATCTATTCACCATACATGGTCTAGTTTGAAGATTAATGTTATTATCGTGCGATACGTGCTCAATTACTATCCAAGGAATTATTTCCATTACCGATATCAGCCCATTTGCCATGCCTCGGTCTTGCATGATCGTCGTTTACCGCTACTGCACGTGGGGAAGACGGAAGTTGTCCGATTGATACTGATCGTCATAAGGAAATCAAATCATATCATACACGCTATTTACAAGTTGGAAATTACGAAGATCACCTTTGATATCTCCCTAATTGGCTCAAAACCCTAATAGTCAACTCCAAGCTCCCATTCGAAGAGTAATTGTCCGACTTGAGATAACCCTCCGATCACCCAACTCACTTCGACTTTTGTTAACCTTGCAATCGCAAAGACTAGCCGGCTTGGCGGAGGCAAGCCATGCAAGCCACGAAGCCTGAAGAAATGCGAAAAGGACACTCTACGTTCTGTATCTGCATCAAAGCGGGGTAGTTGGAGCGTGTGAAGCCGACAGGAGGAAGATCCTTGACGTTCGCTTTTCTCCCCGGGGTACGGAGTACAGCATACAGAATTGCATCCACATCCATTTTATTATCCTTTTGCTAATGCTTTTGCTTTGCCACAGAACCCACAGCCTACACGGAAGGCTGCGGCCCGATCAAAAGCAGACTCTTTGTATATGGATACCGGCTTCAAGAGAACACCACGTTGCACAAAAGCTCCGTTTTATTAACACGTCGTGCTAGGTCTAGATTTACCCCCACCCTTCTGAAACCACTCCTATTTCTCTCGAAACTGCAGTCATCCGGTGGTCCCTATCTCAAGAACTGCGACAGACTCGGAAGGGTGTTATTTAGGGCTACCGCATGGTCAAATGCACTCGGGCTTTGCACTGCACAACCAGACACATGGTCATGTAGCCATCCTTAGACGGATGCGAGAATATCGATCTGCAAGCTGCAGCATGAGCTGGATTGCTAACGGCTAGTCCATCTCTGGGCTCAGGACTAGACAGGGAAGAATGAGGGGATTACATATCGGAGTGCATCAGAGCCATGCGAGTGTTGCAGTATTGTGGAGTCTACTTTCTCAACATCTTTTGCCTGGATTTGGCTCCACTGCTCTCTTTGTTTCGCACTCGAGGAGAAAATAACATATTCTAGTCATTATAAGGATGTCATTTTACTTCCAGCTCTCACACACATCCAATGAATCCACAATGTAACCTAAGTAACCAAAATAAAACCTCTCAACCATGTGAATTACCATTAACATGCAGCTTTCGCATGGTACCCCAGTGATCGGTATTCTGCATGAAGGGTAATATGCTCAACGCACAACTTGCCATACTGACACACCAGCCCCTCCTTTTACCATTTGTGGGTAAAGACATGAGAATCAGACCTGTCACTTTCAACACATGGCAGGCCACATGCATATGTAGAAATGCCGCGTGTTTGGGGTGGGGGACCAATCAAATAGCATACAGAATGTCAATGTAGAAGCACAGCAGTTGCGTATTCCCATAATAATATACATATTTACCTTTCAAATGACTGTAGTGCAAGCAAGGAGATTAACACCAGGCAGCGAGAATCGAAAAGCTGCCAGCATTACCATTGCCATAGAATAGTCCATTAGAAGTACAAACTACTGGCAAAGAAAGAATATGCAAGATTTGCCTGAAGAATCAACCAGCCAGTTTTGAAACCATCTACTTTGTACTCCGTACATGGGATGCATATTCAAATCCCGGAAATCCCGGTATCGCCACCCTCTCATATATATGTTGTAAGCCTACGCAGATCATCAAATTCTAATCAAATGACATTCACTCCACCGCCTATCATCTAGCCTGAGTTGTAGTAGTAGTATTCCGTACGTAAACCCCCTCGGAGTTCACGAGCACACGTACTCCGTATCCCAAGGGCGCGGGAGCGTGCATACCCTATCGAACCAAAGACTAGGATGACGTGATTGATCATACTCAGCAACTAGGATAGACGATGGGAAGGGGATGATCGGCATATTTAAATGGAAGGTCAGGTAGGTTTGGGCCTAGTGAAGTTTGTCAATAACTTAAAAGAGGGAGCTGGGAGGTGCTTGCTTAGCGTTTGCTTTACATATGGTTATGTACGTATGTTGTAGTCTGTGCATGTTGTCGGTGTATGGTGTTTTTGTGATATATCCGATACCGGATGTCGGCTTGAGTTCGGGGCATATGTTGGTGCGACTGGTATAAATCCCCTAGGGCTGGGTTAAGGTGTGTCTGTATCATTTTTCTATATTTTTTCTATAGAATTCCGGGACTAGTTGTATGTATTTGGCCTAGATTTGGTTGTGTTATGCTACTTTCTCTTTCTTTCTTGTATACTCGGATAGTACGGGAGGACTTGATATCAATTCCAATGACTCGGCGGAGAATGACTGGAAATTAATTAAGATGTATTCCGACTAGCAACTCATATCGTGATAGACTGGGTAGTCAGAAAGCCAAATGATATGCTTGCCACCGGCGCAAATAACGCAACACAGTAGGACATGCTCGCAATATATCCAAATTGCTGACAGGTCTATTCGCGCCACCACTGGCCCAAAGCACCTCCGGAGCCCGCCATTTCAATGACCTCCTCGAAACTGATTTCCACACGGAACATCTGCCCGTCAGCAGTGCCGTTCCCACTGCCGACAGGAGTCACAAGTCCCCAGCTGAGCAGCTTTTCCCAGGACTCTCGGGCCACATCTCGGCCCCAGACACGGCCTGGTGTGGCAGCAGCTCCGGACACCGAGGCAGATATCTTTGCGGAGGTCAGGAGCCGAACGTATTCTGCGTATGCGGCGGGGAAAGAAAGCGCAAGTGGTGCCATGCTCTGCGACTGGGACCCGTCGTTTCCGGGGTCGAACAGGGCCGCCAAGCGTGTTGCGGCTACTAACAAAGCCAGTGGCAATGATGAGGGACTAGATGATGTGATGGATGTGGAGAATGGGAGAGGTGCTGGGTCGGGGCAATCAAGAGATTGGGAAGCGAAGCTTTTCGGAGTTGGGACTTCGGGTATGGGTGTGTCGGGGATCGATACACTTTGTAGCAAGTCGCTGATGGGGAGAAGCGCGCTGTTGAAAAACTCCTTCGCTGATTTGGTTTGGTTGTAGATACGCTTGAGGTGGAATTGGAATTCATTGTCATTCCACATATGCTATTTTCGAGAGCGAGGTTTAGCAAAGATTCAATTGACTGGATGAAAGGAAATATGACAGATCTTACCTTCAAATATTCCTTCCATCCCCCAAGCAGTGTCTTCCATTTGGTTGACTCTACTAGAGTGCGTTCAGACCCAAGTTCATCTGCAATATCAGCCATTTCGGCGTCACCGAGATCCAGGCTCCCTAGGCAGATATCTGAAAATGTCTCGAAGGATCGAGGTAGAGGGACGTAAGTATAACGATGACTAAATCGACTCTTGACACGCTTTTCGAGCATTTCAGTTACGTCGACCTTTGTCGTGAGCCCAATGACTGCGATAGGGGCTTTGCGGGCCTGGGCAATATCAAACAGATTATACAACAGAGTCTGGCGTGGGTGAGTGACGAATAGGTCGAACTCATCCAACAAGATCACGATGGATTTCGCAGCGGTCTTTGATCCCGGGTCCACAGAAGCCCCGAAGAGCTCCTCTGGGTGCGACAATAAAGCCAAGAGCGTCGCCATCGTATCCGCATAAGAACTGACCTTGGCCGCATCATCTTCGGTATGCATTTCACGGCCAAGTTGGCGCCACATCTCTCGCAAAGCTAGACGGTCATCTGTGTGCAAGAATCCATTGAGACGAACGACGTGGAAATCGTTGCTGTGTTCCTTTCTAAGGGACGAAATGATGGATTCCACAATTGCGGTCTTGCCGCATCCTCTAGATCCAAGAAGAAGCATGGAGTTACCCTCTCCGACAGAGACAGTCTGCTCAATGAGCTGATGAACTTTCTGATATTCAGGTTCGAGTCCTCGCACTGGAATCTGTCGTTTCCCTGACAGCTTTTCAAGAAGGATTGTCGAAAGAATGCGCATTTCATCCTCAAGGCCCGTCTGACAGAGCGCTTGGAACTTTTCAGCATATTCCGGCAATGGCTCGGAGACATCGGCAGTCTCATGCGCCTCCGGCTGCTCATGATAAAGATCTTGCTGGAGTTGCATCGTAACGAGGTCATCCAAACCGTCCTGATACTCAGGCGAAGGCGACTTCTCTTTCGGCTCTGCGGCCAAGACTTTTCTTGATCTGGGTTTCGCAATGGATCTGGGTTTCGCGGGGGTTCTCTTCGATCTAGTCCTTGTAATTGTACGAGGGGCGGGTTCCGGTGACGGCTCGTCGAGGTCCATCTCATCATCGTCATCATCATCCTCCTCTTCAAATTCAGGTTCATCTTCGTCTTCCACCGGAGATTCTCGCGGCTTCTGCGCGCTTCGGGTGGGACGCGCACTTCGTGAGGGAGTGGCAGCTGGTCTTCTCCTCGAGGAGGGTGTTACCGCTTCTTCCTCGTATCTTTTTGGTGTTTTGCGCTGCCGCCCACTTGACCGTGTCCCAACCCGTGCGGGGGTTTGTGCCTCAACTTTCTCGTCCTCGCTATCTTGGCCCGTCGTTTCGGGGACTGGGTTGTCTCCATGGGTAGATCGACGCCGTGATGCACTTTTGACCGGCGTGGGAGAAGTTCTGTTGTTGTCGGGAGATGATGGGACGGAGAAGACATCTTGATTATCATTTGCCATCTCGATGTCTCCATCAACGTCCTCGGAGACCCTTCTCCTCTTAGAAGCTCGGGGGGCCATGGCTGTAGTTTGAAGAAATGGAATCGCTGGTATCGGGGGGTTTCCAAGCCGATGAAAAACAGGGCAAAGGACGCAAAGCGGGAATCACTCGTGGTTGTCCTCTCGGAGAAGTGTTTGCGCCTGTGTCAATTAGAATCAGATTCAATCAATGCTGTTTATTTCCGACCAGCTTGAGTCTAAGAGCTTTCGCCCCGAATATATTGACGTACAGAGAGAAAATTAATAGCGCGTTTGTCGTTAATCAAGGCCAACAAGCGCAGCCCGTCTGAATCAAATTCGACCAGAAGACCTACGTGGTTCAATTGCTGTTGCAGTTGCTCCAAGGGTCGGACCGACAACAATTGGCCGATTTTCGCCTCAGGCCGAGACGCGTGACGCGAAGTCAGGTGCTTCCCGAGGTCACTTTGACAAGTTCTCCCTTGCAACTTGAATTGTTCTTTAATATTGTCTCGTTACTGTATGGAGCAGAACTTTCAATCGGAATTCGAATAAAACAAACCCGAAGAACTGGAGTCGAGCTGTATCCATATCATTGAGTGGAAGGTTGCGCTCAACGATATTAGAAAACTGGAGCAACGGAAGTTGATCCTACTCTTCGGGACTTGAACAAGAACACAGCGAGGGCAATGGATAGTTATAGCTATATTGTTCGTATATAACGGCAACGTTCTCGGTGTATGGGTGGACACCAAACACTACTATGTAGTAACTGAACAGAAAATCCACAGGTACATAGTACTCGCTTTGCGAAAAAAAAAAAAAAGGCAATCATATTTCTGTAGAAAGGAAGGTTCAAGTATTCAACAAGATGACCAAAAATCCCAAGAAAAAAAGGAAAAAAGAAGCAGATCGATCTAAATGGCCTGGTCATTCAAGATCGATGTCATTTCCCCCCAACCTTGGAGTACAGGTATTCCAAATAATCTCTAAGCAGCCGTAGAAATATCAGCAGGAGATGGAGGAGTTTCCTTAAACAAAGCCTCACTCTCTCGGCTGGGACGACTGTCACTGAATGCGATGTTTAACTTGCGATAATCCCAGTGACGGGCGAAGAACAACACAGCAAAGCTCAGAACGGGTACCATCAGTAAGTCGAGTACACTAAAGAAGATAAAGCTCCCCATAACGCCAACCACGTTGCCGCCATCGGTCAGGCCAAAGGCGATAGGATATAGCACGCATAAAAGATTCAACCACACCACAAAAAACATGTAATCCAGTTCAACACCAAACAATGCAGCACCCTCGCGACTCTCGTTGATAGTGCTCATGGCGAGGATGAGCCACGCCGATAGTTTATTACACGGGAATTGAAAATGGTTGGATATCAAAGATCGTTTTATGTGGCTTACTACCATTTCAAAGATTATACCCGTGGACATAGAACAGTCCATTTCGCCTTTTTCTGCCGTCTACCTAACAAACTAAGAAGGGGAAGAAAATATCTGTAAAAACTGATATTTAAAAAGACTATCTCAAAAGCATATCTGAGAAGACGTATAAAACGACTACCTGAGGAGATTACTAAAAAGACGATCTGAGGAGACCATAAAATACTACCAAATACTTGACAAGGCTGCATAAGCGGCCGACTATTCTTGTCTAACAAACTAAGAAAAGTAAAATATAGAAAGATGAACATATATATCCAATTTAAGCATATCTGATCCGTTCCAAGGTGGTCGGTTTCACCACAGCCGAGGTCCAATACGGCGATCCGAGCTACGCCTGTGGGGTGTACTTAGCCTTAGCTTGTTCAACTTCCAACAACTTCTTCCTCTTAACCCATTTAATTTTTGCATTTGTCATTCCTTTCAGATACCATGTCAGATAACGCAATAAGCGCTCCGTCCAGGAAACTGGACGAGTTCGAGGAGCTCGTCTACGAGTATACGGGGCGAATGGGCATGGGGAAAGACGGAGTAAGTTCCATGCGCAACATTAAACATATGCACCGCATTTCCCATCTACGCAGCGCTAGTACGCATAATTGAATTCCAGTGCTTACCCTTATCTCAACAAAGAACTGGGACGTCGATGCCCGCGACTGTAACCTCCGCTTCGAATCCGCAACCCGTGGTCCTCCGGCTACAGTCTCATTCCTATTGACGATCACTCCTGCGCTGAGCAATTCCATGGGTAACCTCCACGGAGGCTGTGCTGCTACTTTGATTGATATTCTATCAACCACTATCTTGTTAGGCATTTCCGAGCCGGGGAAGTTCTCTTTCGGAGGTGTCAGTCGCAACCTCAAGGTCACATATCTGCGGCCTGTACCTACCGGAACTGAAGTGCGTCTCGTTTGTGAAGTTATTCATGTTGGAAAGAGGTTGGCGTTGCTTCGGGCTGAGATTCAGAGGGCGGAGAGCCGGGATGTTTGTGTGATTGGTGAACATGAGAAGGCTAATACAGACCCCGAGGTGACGCAGAGGATTTGATTTGGTTTTGCTTTTTTGATATGTATGAGGACACCATCGGGTTCTTAGAGACAGCTACTTGGATATCAAGTTGTATAGACTTCATTTGGATCAATAAAGTTGCCAAATTCTAGCCATTGTACGAGGAAAGAGCATGTAGCCTATGGCTGTGGTAGTGACCAGAAATATTGTGCTTCGTTTGTTATGATAGGGAAGCGCAGACAAAGAACAGAGAGACTATCGCACATGTCCAAGAGAAATATAATCAACCAATCTAAGTAGTACTAGATTATCCGATTGTCAAGGCGAGTACGCCGTTTTACTCTGTGGCCAGTTGCTGGTCTTCCCGGAGACCCTCAACCTTCAACTCCTCGCCAGTGGCACGGCGGTACACATCACGGACATCATCTGAGAGAAATGATTAGTCAACAATTCAAATATTTCGAATCATGGAATAGCTTACCAGTCGTAGTCTCGAAGTGTGATGTCGCATCATAGCTCTTAGAAATGAAGATGTTGGACACCTCGCCATTGTCGGTGGGCTCGTAGAGAGGAATGGGGGGACCCATGAACTTCTCTTCGATCTTGCCCAGTCGCTCGAAGCCAGCCTCAAGCTCAAGGTGGTGGTTGGCATCGTGCTCGGCGATGGTGGACACGATGGCGATGTAGTAGCCCTTGGGGCAGACGTTATGCGCGGACGAGACCATGGCAATGTAAATGTCTAGAGAGGTTAGTGCCCTGTCAATAAATCGGAACCTTAAGAGAACTCACCGTGCTTGCGTCCAACCTGGGACTGGGGAATGATCAGCTGCACAGAGTCGCTGCTGTCGGTCTTATCGATGGGGTGGTTCAGAATGCAGATAGCCTTGAGCAAGTATCCGGTGACCTTGGACTTGCTCGGGAAGTAGGAAGGATCAGCGATGATCTTCTTGGTCTTGGTCTCAAACTTCATGGCCTCGGATTGGTCGTCACGGTCCTTCATGGTCGCCTTGATTCCGGAGACCTTGCCGTTCTCGTAAAGCACCTCGTCGATGTCGGTGTTCAACATGTAGGTACCGCCGTAGATGGCAGACAGACGAGCAAAGCCCTGGGGAAGCTCGCCGAGGCCGTAGAGAGGGTAGATATAGGGCGATTTTCCGTAGCGTGCCATAGAGTTGACATACAGGCGGATACGGTTAATGGTTTCGACGGCGGCGCCGTTCTGGTTGATATATCCGTCCGAGGGGTACAAAGCCATGGAGTGACCGACGAAATCGCGAGTGTTATCCTCGAGGCCAAACTTGTCGTAAACCTCCTTCATTGTGCATGCATGGATGTTCAATCCTGGTCTCCATTAGCAATCCGCTTTGACGAACCCCCGAACAGACCCAGGTTGCAGATACTCACCCTGGTGACTGGCTGGGTCGTCCTCCTTGAAATCACCAACCCATTCGAGGAACTTCTTGGCACGTCGCTTTTCGAACAAGCCCATGAGCGATGAGCGGAGAGCTTCACCAGCATCCGAGGGCACCTTGGCCACGGTCGCCTTGGGACCCTTGCCTTGCTGGACGTAGCTGCCAGCAATCTGCTTGAACTCGAGGTACCGGGTAACGTCGGTGGACACCAAAATGTTGGTCAACTCTCCATTAGACATGAGCAGCTTGGGGACCAAGTCGATGTTCCAGTCATTGACCCTCCCGTATTTCTTCCATGGCTCCTCGCCGGGGCGGACGTTGCCGTATTTCTTGAACAGCTGCAAAGGGTGTCAATAGGGTAAGTTGGAAATAAATCGGTGCAACATACTGCTTCGATGTTGACGGAAGCTGCTTCTCTATAGCCATTGTAAGCTATTTTGATCTTGGTGCCGTCATCGCGAGCTTCTCCGACTTACCCTCCATAGTGATCATTGCGATCGATGTGAAGGACCTTGTTGCCCTTCACACTGAGGACACTGTATTCGAAAACAGTGAGAAAATGGCAGAATCATTAAAATCCAAGCTCAAAGACCTACCCAGACAAAACACACTCGGTCAAACCTGAAAAGAAATTGGTCAGTTATTGACGTTTGGGGGGGGGGATGGCGGGGTAGCAACATACCAGTGCCGAGCACCACAACATCGTACTCTGGGGCGATCTCGTCCATAATGAATATGGAAGATACTAGAGGTAGAGAAAGATAGAAAGAAGATTCAAGAGAATGAGGAGAAGAGAAAGTTGACTATCTCCCCGCGGATCAACGAAGCGGTAAGAAAGGGGAACTATTTGACGGATCCGCCACTAGTGAGTTACCTCACTATATTAATGACATGGAATAATTGGGCTTCAATGAACCCCTGAATATGTATATCCTTGAATTCTTTAATCTCAGGGGTAAATATGATCGATTCCCAACATTCTTAGGTACAGTATAATTTAAAGGAAGTTTGTATTGTCGGATGATGGACCATCTCTCATATATCCTATGTATAATTTGACATGCGCACTACTAAAATCACCTTGAAAAGCTAATGTTACAACTTGATTGACCCCTGGAGACTCGGCTTAAGTCTCCTTCGACCGGGGTTGTGTCTAAACCCTCTTCTCGTGCTTATTGTTCCTTGCCTTCTGCTCCATTGCTCTTCTGCTCGACCTCAACGTCATCGAGCCCGTAAAAGTTCTCAGGGCGGTATCCGCGCTTGTACATTCGTGAGGCGTCCTCCCAAGCGTACCAGCGTTCACGTAGAACGTGCTTGATGTTCTTCATGGTGCTTCGAATCTAAAAAGATCAAATGGGTCAGCCGGAGTTCAGACAATTTCAATCGCCAATTGACAATTGCCTCGGAAGCAAGGAAGAAAAAGTCTCCATGCAGCGTTCCAGGACATATAGATGAACGTGACGGCGTATACAGCAGGGGAAAAACTCACCACCCTGTCCCGTTCCTGAGATTCGAATCCACCGTAACCAGCCTGAATTCTCTCTCTCTCGAAATCCGACGTAGCAATGCGGTTCCGTTCCCGGACACACACATGCCACAGACCGTGGAGGTCCTCCCAACTCCTTTCGCGGAGTTCTTGGATAGCCCACTGGCGACCTAGATTGCCAACATCAGCACTGCTCATAGAACATTCATTCTATAGATCGGAGGCCGATCAAACTAACCATGAGTGTTGTCATAAGCTGGGGTAGGTAATGGCTCCCGGTTAGGGGGGAAGAAGGCCCAGAGTCCATGGTTGGGGTTTGTTTCCCGTGGCTGCATATCTTTCAGTGACACAGGTTGGGGCAATGGCCATCTTGACACAGTGAATGGCGTTCTGGGACCGGTTCGATTGATGGCCGATACACCACGGTTTTTGCTCTTGTCGCGTCGAGGGTTCGCGCAGACGGAGGCAGTGGAAGAAAAGCTCGAAGACTGGATGGCTGACAAGGTCACGGAGGGGTGAAGTGATGGCGCGAGGTAAGTGGGAGGCAATTCAGCCATAGCCCGCCCTCTCAGGCGGCTAGCAATGCGTGGAACCTGCTGCATGATTGTGATGGCTTTCCCCAAGATGGTCGGAGTCGGAGATTGATGGCCTTTCTTTTCGCGAAGGCGGCAAGACTAGTCACGTGCCACGACCAACTCAGGACCAGCTTGGATGCTGCCAGCCTCGGGTTCATCGGGTTCTTCACATCTATTGTTTTCTCAAGTCATCTGGTTTCTTTTGATTCCATCTTTGATTCAGCAAACGACAATCCCAAATACTTATCCTAAAGATATCTTTAATCTTTACCTCTTAGGCCTTGCGCCGCGGTTAACTACAGACTTGGCCTGTGCATTCCTCACCCGCGCGTCTAACCACCCAATCGACTACTCGGCGGAGCAGTGCCGCATCAAACGTGACCAAGAGGCCTTTGTGGATTGCTCTCCCCTCCACAGATTCACCTCCGGTCTATTACTCGACCAGTCCTTTTTGACATATCCCGGGATATCGGAAATTACCTTCTTCTTAAGAAATATCGACTATGAATAGGCCAGGTTTGTCATTTTCCTTCAATGCCTTCGCGATCCCTTGTGTCTTTCTTATCTTTCACCTACCTCCGCGGAATACTTGATATAGTCGGACTTGCTTCTGTGTGGGCTATACTCTCCTTGATAGTGAGAGTTACCCAGCGCCATGGAAGCACCGGGGAGTCCAATGGCAAGCCTTGGTGCAGATGGTTCTACATTTGCGACCGAGACATTGCAAGGACATGCCCGCACATTCCTGTGGTGTTGATCTGAGCAGCTCTCGATGATGCGACGATCGTGCTGACTTGTCACCCTTGTGTCAGGACCTGGCCCACAGCCGCTGAGAGGCATGTCCGGATTCCCCACGCAACAGCAAGCACAAGCGCGAACTGCATCATTAACATCCACGCAATTGTCAAACGGGAAACTGGGTGCGATTGCCTCGAGTCATACTTTCTGGACACTCAATATATTTGCATGAAGGGATGCTAACATAAGAGTCTGAATAGGCGGCGGTGCAAATTGGAGCTTCAATCTACCTGTTAGTGGAACATCTGGCCTACCGGGCAATCAGCAGCGCACAATGGGGACCATGGGAAGCTTTGCGCAAAGTCTTGGAGGGTCTCAATCCGCGGCACCACTTGATCTCTCGTAAGTGCTCTTTTGTCATGGTTTGCAGTGGTCTCCTGTATCTCTAGGCCTTCCAATTTGTCTCCGAACTGACGAAGTCGGTGATTCTAGGGAGTTCCCTTCGCTATCAGGAGCATCACAGCAATCACAGTCACAAACTCCCGGTCAGCTAATGTGGGCCAACGCAAGTCAACGCGCTGCTCAGCAAACACCTGTCCAAAGACAACAGCTCCCTCCGACATCGCAAACCTCCTCCCGTTCCTCCCAACCTCAGGGTCTTCCTACACCTCAGCAATCTCAACCACCGCATGATGACATGTTTCCTTCTGGTTCGCAGTTTGCCAATCGACTCGATGACTTTAGAAATGGTGGCCAGGGTATTAGCAGCCAACTCGGTGCGGGTGGCCAGCCCCAGACAGGCAATATTGAAGAGTTTCCCCCTTTGGGTCGCAATGCTGCTGCTGAGCTTCCTCTCGGTCGAACTGGTTCGTTGATGCAAGGTGCAGGTTTTGGGGGCTATGGAACTGGCTTGGGGGCACCGCGGTCACCAGTCAGCCAAGTCCCCAATGGCATTTTGGGACAAGAGAAAGAAGTAGGTCTCTACAATCATACTCACTTTGTAGGCGGCACTGACTTTACAATAGGACTTGAACAACGGTGTCCTTCCAGGCCAGCGTAACTTTAGTGATCCACAACAGCTACAGCAAAGGCAGTCAGAACCTAGCGATGGACAAGATGTTTCTAGTGCGCCCCAGAGTACTGAGCAACCGCCCCTCGCACAGATGAGTGAACTTGACAGGTTTGGGTTAGCGGGTTTGCTGCGCATGATTCACAGCGAGAGTCCTGATGTTGCAAGTCTCGCTGTTGGTCAAGATTTGATGACACTGGGATTGGATTTAAATCAAGCGGAGTATGAGTTCCTTTGTTCCCATACAATTGATACATACTAATATCCTTCCCCGCATAGGCCTTTGCACACATCGTTTGCTTCACCATTCGTGTCATCAATGTCAGCAGTCCCTCTGGAGCAAGACTTCTCTTTGCCCGGTTGTTATAATGTTGCCAATATCCAACCCCTCCAGTCTCGCATTCCTGGGTTCAGCGATGAGACACTCTTTTTCATCTTCTACAGCATGCCTCGGGATATCATGCAGGAGCTGGTGGCCGAGGAATTGATGGGCCGCAAATGGCGGTACCACAAGCTCGAACGGTGCTGGCTGACTCGCGATGAGACATATCCTGGACCCGTTGATGTGGAGCGTGGTGTGACAGAACGCGGTGTTTATCTTCTGTGGGATTCTTCCGCCTGGAAGAAGGTCCGAGTAAGTAACTTTCATCCTTTGTAGGGATTTAAAGGACTGGTCAAACTAACTTTGATCGCAGCGTGAATTTATCCTTCGATACGAAGACTTGGACAACCGGTTAGATCCTAACCGAGGTGCCGCCCGCCCACCTGGCGTGGTGCATCATGCCTCATGATTTGACGTTGATACGACCTAGGCGCACGCACAATACAAGCAGTCAACTATGGCGTTCGGTTTACTGGTCTGTGTTATATTGCTCATGGATGGCCGATAGTACATTAACCTTCGGGAACAAGGCGCGTTGATTTCTTGGTATTAAAGGGCTATGTGGGAAACCAGGATACGATCTTTGAAAATCAATGATCTAAATGATCTTGTCACAATGTTGTAAAATGCTATACATCGCTGTAGACCCCTCTATCCACCATCTGAATGGATTCTCCATCTAGCAAGACTTGCGCGCAGTGGATAGAATAGCCACCCAGTCGGTCTCGATGTTCTCATCCCCGTAAGTGTCTTCCAAATACTTCTCTATCGCCGGACGAACCTTATCCTTGTTTTCCTCCCTTTGTTCCTCAGTCCAAAATGACTTCATCATCACGGGAAGCACCAACATGGCCATGTCCACGAAGACAGAGGACGTGAGAGTCAGTTTTGTTGTTGTTGGGCGGACATCGATGTCCTTGAACCCACGCTCCTGGAGTTGGGACTCGATCCAAAGCTTCGAGTACCATTGCCCATCAGTCATGGTCGCCAAAAGCTTTGAGGTCTCGGGGAAAAACAGTTTGTCTGGCATCCTTTCAATCGCTGCTCGGGCCACGGGGATCCAGCCGGCTGTTTCGTGTCAGTGAATATGTTTTCTGAGAGAATCGTTTCGATACTCACGCTCGATCCAGGTTGAGAAAGCAATAGTTCCGCCGGGTTGCAGTATCCGGACAGTTTCTAGTGGTAGTATCTATTAGCCTTGAATATAATAAGGAAGTAAGCAAGGGTATATTTACCATCGAGAGCCTTAACAGACTCAGGGAGTGCCATATAGACTGAGAAGGAACGTAGTAGTTAGCTACAGTCAAATCAGAACAGAGTGCATCCATAAACCAACTCACCGAAAGCAGTGAAAATGTGAGAGAATTGAGCACTAGCCAGCTCAGGCTTCTGCGCATCCACGATCTTTGTCTCCGCGTTCTGCCAGCCCTCTTGCTGCATGCGGTGCATAGTGTACTCGATCATTGCTGATGATATGTCTCCACATGTCAACTTCCACGTCTTCTTGACAGTGTCATCAAGCTTGTCATTGAGAGTGCTGGAGATAACACCAGTGCCGCAGGCATTGTCAAGGACAACTAGAGGCTGATCAGGGTTGGCCTTGGACTCAGCGGCCACCTTGCTCTGGTCAACCAGCATTCCAGCGAATGGGCGGGTGACCATCTCCCCGCGTTTGAATGAGGTAGCATATTCTTTACTTTTGAAGAAAGTCTCGAGGTCGGCTCTGTCAGCCATGGTTGGTAAAGCTGTAAGGTGATTGGTTATCGTGGTGACTGAAGTTGATAGATGAATATGTCTGTTTAGAAGGAATCTTCGAGTGATGTGAAGCAAAGTCAAGATAATGGAAAGATATATGTTTTTACCTAGTTAAAAAGGTCCTTTAAATATTCTGGAGTTTCCATAGTTTGGTTAGCGTTATACCACAAGGTACTATCAAGTGTTGTATGACATAGAAATTCTCCGAGAATGTCTCCGCGAGTGGGTTTCAGTTGAGGCATTTCTCAAAATGCACCTTCAAGGGGAATGAACTAACCCCAACCCTTGCTAGACCGTATTTCAACACTATCAACGGCAATGATTTGTTGAGGGCGGATTTTACGCAGTAGGTCATCTCCAAGGTTCCCTCTTGGTAGATCGTGATCATTATGCGTGGATTAACAAAAGAGGAGCCCTACAGAGGCCAAATGAAAGCGGCAAAAGTTCTTAACTGAAAATTCCCATCAAACCTACAATTCTAAACTTCCAAATATTAGTCAATCAACAAATTCTGGCGAACGGAGAGATTCAATCTCCTGTCGCCGAGTGCCCTTTTGCGCATACTTCGATATCACGTGAGAACAAGGCCCCCGCGCTGACATCAGCAAAACGACGCCAGACCCAAACGGGCAAACCATCAACAGCGGGTGCGGCAAAACAATCAATCCCCTCCACTTCCCATCTGGCCGACCTATGCACTCTGCTAACGAGCAGAACGCCGTTTCGGAGTCGCAACCATGAGGATTACTGAAATTGTCATAGATGTGAGTGTCAACATTGTTCCATCGCTATTAACTGTGCTAACTAGCTCGTCAGGGCTTCAAATCCTACGCTGTGCGTACGGTGATTTCGGGATGGTATGCAATCCTCCGCATCTAAGCATGAATTAAATCATGGATTTGGTCGAGTGATCGGATTTACTAATCGCGCAATGCAGGGACGAAGCCTTCAACTCGATCACCGGCCTAAACGGCAGTGGTAAATCCAACATCCTCGATGCCATTTGCTTCGTGCTTGGCATCACCAACATGACCACAGTCCGCGCGCAAAACCTCCAAGATCTCATCTACAAGCGCGGCCAAGCCGGTGTAACGAAAGCCAGTGTTACAATCGTTTTCGACAACCGGGATACCGCGAAGTCGCCGATCGGATTCGAGGAGTATGCCAATATCTCCGTCACTCGACAGATTGTGCTAGGCGGCACAAGCAAATATTTGATCAACGGTCACCGTGCGCAACAGCAGACTGTTCAGAACCTGTTCCAGAGTGTCCAGCTGAACATCAACAACCCCAATTTCCTCATTATGCAAGGTCGCATTACGAAAGTTCTGAACATGAAATCGGTTGAAATCCTGTCGATGATCGAGGAGGCAGCTGGTACACGAATGTTTGAAGATCGAAGAGAAAAGGCAAACAGGACAATGGGAAAGAAAGAGCTGAAGCTGCGCGAGATCGAAGAACTGCTGAAGGAAGAGATCGAACCTAAGCTCGAGAAGCTCCGATCGGAGAAGCGAGCCTTCCTCGACTTTCAACAGACGCAGAACGACCTCGAGCGCTTGACCCGACTTGTTGTTGCCCATGACTATGTTCGTGGCGGCGAGCGGTTGAGAGTTGCAGGCGAAGAGTGCGAAAACAAACGTAACAATGCGCAAGCACTCGAAGATAACGCGATCAAATTGAAAAGTGAAATTGCCCATTTGGAGGAGGACGTGAAACGGGTGCGCACAGCTCGCGACAAGGAACTCCGAAAAGGCGGCAAATTCCAAGGGCTTGAAGATGAGGTGAAGAACTACTCGCACGAGTTGGTCCGACTGACCACGGTCTTCGATCTGAAGAATGCAAGCATGGACGAAGAGAAAGAGAAACGGCAGACTATTCAAAATACTGTCACTGATCTTGAGAAAGTCCTGAAGGAGAAGCGCAAGATCTACGAGAAGCTACAGGCCCAGTACGATACCGCCAAGGCCGAGTTGGACGCACAAAATGTGGAAGTGGAGCAAAAGGAGGAACTGCTTCAGACATTGCAGACTGGTGTCGCCTCAAAGGAGGGCCAAGAGAGTGGTTACCAGGGTCAATTGCAAGATGCCCGTAATCGCGCAAGCAATGCCGCCACAGAACAAGAGCAAGGAAAGCTCAAAATCAACCATCTTGAGAAGCGAATCAAAGAAGAGGAGCCTCGCGCGAAGAAGGCAAAGGAGCAAAACTTGGGGCTTTTGCGTGATCTGGAAGGGTTGAAGTCGCAAGCCAACAAGCTGGAGTCCGAGCTTACTCGGCTTGGGTTTGAGCCTGGGAAGGAGGAGCAGATATACCAGGAGCAGACCGAGCTTCAACGGGATATTCGCGACCTCCGCCAGCGGGCCGATGGGCTCAAGCGGCAGGCAGCAAACATTGATTTCAACTACGCAGACCCTCATCCAAACTTTGACCGGTCCAAGGTCAAGGGTCTGGTTGCTCAGCTTTTCACCCTCAACAAGGATCAAGTTCCGGCCGCCACAGCTCTGGAGATCTGCGCCGGTGGTCGCCTTTACAATGTGGTCGTGGACAGCGCAGAGACCGGTACGCAGCTGCTTCAGAAAGGCAAGCTGCGCAAGCGCGTGACTATCATTCCCCTTAATAAGATTTCTGCCTTCAAGGCCTCCGCGGAAAAGATCGGAGCTGCACAGAACCTTGCCCCTGGAAAGGTTGACCTCGCTCTATCCTTGGTTGGATACGATGAGGAAGTTCTGGCGGCGATGAACTACGTCTTCGGCAACACCCTTATCTGCCAGGATGCCGACACAGCTAAGAAGGTCACATTTGATCCGTCAGTTCGGATGAAGAGTGTCACGCTGGAGGGCGATGTGTATGATCCGTCCGGAACACTTTCTGGTGGAAGCTCCCCAAATTCCAGCGGTGTTCTCGTTACTTTGCAAAAGCTCAATGATATCACCAAGGAGCTGCGGAGCAAAGAACGACAGCTCGCGACTTTGGAAGATCATATGAACAGGGAAAAGAAGAAGCTCGATTCCGTTCGCTCGATCAAACAAAATCTGGATCTCAAGAACCATGAGATTAAGCTTACCGAGGAGCAAATTAACAGCAACTCTTCGTCTTCGGTATGTCTTTCTCCGAATCCGTTTCCCACGATTTGCAACTAACCCAAAGTAGATCATTCAAGCTGTTGAGGAGATGAGAGCAAACATTGAACAGCTCAAGAAAGACATCGCCGACGCCAAGTCTCGCCAGGCCGACGCATCCAAGGATATCAAGCGAATTGAGAAAGACATGAGTGAATTCAGCGACAACAAAGATAGCAAGTTGGAGGAACTGCAAACAACGCTCGATAAACTCAAGAAGAGCTTCATCAAAAATTCTAGCTCAGTCAAAGAGCTGCAGAAGGAATTGCAGACTTCCAGACTAGACTCTGAACAAGTTGGAAGCGACTTATCCGCGGCTGAGGAGCAATTGGTTGAGTCAGACAACACCCTCAGTGCCCAAGTGGAAGAGATTGAATCACAAAAACGGGAGCAAGCGCGGCTGAAGGTATGTGATACCCTTCCAACACTACTCAATAACCATATGACTGACAGTTCTAGGATGCCCATGACATCGCACAGGCTCAGCTTGACGATGAGAGGGCCAAACTGACCGGCTTTGACGAGGAATTGCGAGAATTAGAACAAGCCATGAAGAGCAAATCCTCTCAGATTACCGAGGATGGACTAGAGGCGCAGAAGCTCGGCCATCAGCTCGAAAAGCTCCAAAAGGATCAGCACACTGCTAGCCAGGCCGTTGCTCACATGGAACAGGAACATGAGTGGATTGCAGACGAGAAAGAAAATTTCGGACGCGCCAACACTCCCTACAATTTCCAGAACCAGAACATTGCCGAATGCAAGTCTACCCTACGCAACTTGACAGAGCGATCTCAGGGCATGAAAAAGAAAATCAACCCGAAGGTCATGAACATGATTGACAGCGTGGAGAAGAAGGAGGCTGCGCTGAAGAACATGATGAAGACAGTCATCCGCGACAAGCGAAAGATCGAGGAGACTATCATGAACCTGAACGAATACAAAAAGGAAGCTCTCCACAAGACGTGGGTCAAGGTGAATGGCGACTTCGGACAGATCTTCAATGAGCTCCTACCAGGAAGTTTTGCCAAACTCGACCCTCCCGAGGGCAAAGACATCACAGATGGTCTCGAGGTGAAGGTGTCTCTGGGCAAGGTCTGGAAGCAGAGTCTGACAGAACTGAGTGGTGGCCAACGTTCGCTCATTGCTCTCTCGTTGATCATGGCGCTTCTGCAATTCAAGCCTGCGCCAATGTACATTTTGGACGAGGTCGATGCCGCACTCGATCTGTCACACACGCAAAACATTGGTCGACTGATCAAGACCCGTTTCAAGGGATCTCAGTTCATCGTTGTCTCGTTGAAGGATGGCATGTTCCAAAACGCCAACCGTATCTTCCGCACGCGGTTCAGCGAGGGTACCAGTATTGTTCAGGCTTTGACTCCTGCGGATTTGAAATAAGCATGCATATGAGCTTGGTTGTCTATAGTTTTCTTCTTGGTGTGTTGGTCCGGTGGAGTGTGAGATTATTATGTCTGGCCTTTGGTGTTTGGTTGTTTTTGGATGGGAATGGATCTCTGTCTTATGAATTATGCATGGTAAAGACTATTTCAATTTATTCCTAAGTATACAATATAGGTGTACAATATAGGTGTACAATATAAGTGCATAATATAAGTGTCAGCGTTGAAGACAAACTTCCAAACTTGGAAACTCCGATACCCGGCACGTGCCCGAATCTCGACCTGACCCGGTGCCACCTTCCAACGCGAATCTGCGATTTCATTGAAATCACCTCCGTTGCGCCAATACCTAATAATCTCATCTGGACCTCACTTATATTAAATCATACATATTCAACTCGACCTCTTGCCTTTCTCAGAACCGTTACAGCCAGATACCAACTACCAACACCGAGGACCCTGGACACCCGACTCTACTTGCGCTCCACCAACACAAGATGACAGAAGAGGAACCTTCGCTGAACATACCGTCGCTTCTCACTCTAGCGGTTGTATCATACTTTGTTCTCCGGTGGTTCTTTAATCGTGA